CCAGCTCAGGAAGTTCAACCTGCCCCAGGAGCTGTTGATACAGTTCTACAGAGGAATCATCGAGTCTGTTCTCTGCACCTCCATCACCGTCTGGTTTGGCTCAGCAACCAAACAGGACAAGTACAGACTTCAGCGGACAGTCAGGACTGTAGAAAAGGTCACTGGTGTGAGCCTGTCCTCCATGGAGGACCTGTACACCTCACGGGTCAAAAGGAGGGCGGAGAGGATCATTGCTGACCTTTCACACCCTGGACACAATCTGTTTGAACTCCTCCCCTCTGGACGGCGTTACAGGTCACTGTGCACCAAGACAGACATAGGGTCATCACTCTGATGAACACTCGACCAATGACAGTATAACTGGACAATAACCCTTAGTGCAATACCTGTGTATATAGCTCGTACAGATCATACAGATTTGTACAGGCCTCTGTTTCTTCCATTGTTTACTGCCATCTATACTGCTTATTTTGCATTGTTTGCACTGTTTGTTGCTTTTTAATACTGCCAATTTTTGGTATATTACACAGCCTGTGCTAGTTACTGTTTACCTTGGTCTCTATTTTAAGTACTCTGCTCTTATTCTACCTCATTCCTATTATCTCATCTCGATGGGCATTCCCCTGTCTGTCTGCATTTTGTACTACCCGTTTATACTGATTAATTATGCATGGTTTGCCCTGGTTGTTGCTTGTTAAAAGTGCCTTTTTTTGTTATACAGCCATATGTTGGTCTGTTTACTTGCCCCTTGCATGGGGATATGTACATACACATTGAGAGCCGATGTACCAGTCAAATTCCCCCTGTGTCCGACACACCTGGCTAATAAAGCTGATTCTGACTGATTTTCTAGCATAAATCGATTGAAATGAGGTAACATCAAGTCAAACGTTGAGTTTTTTTTCCTCCCAAAGTAGCCTATAATTCACAATAAAATTGAAATACTTGAGTAAAACAGGTATATAAAGGGATAAATAAGAGGGATAGAGCTGCATTTTTATGCTATAGTTGCTATCCACCACTGGAGCCCGAATTGAGAAAAACACATTCGTGGAGGGCTTTTATTCTGAAAATGTGGCCCGGATATGGTTTGAATTCCATCGGCCTTGACATTTGTGGAGTCTGGAGCAGGATCATGGAAGGAGGATTTCTCAATGGAGAGGGAATTCGATTGGAATACTTTCCAAACACACAGCAACAACTTCGGATGTAGTGATGTGGTACTTTTTATTTAGTTTTAGAGAATTTCTAGCACATTTTGAGGCGAAAAGTGCTTCCGCGCGTTCGTAGGTCTTCTTTTCCCCAGAGCAATTTCCTGTTGGAAAACGAAGAAGGGGAAAGTTTACTCGCTGTGGTTTGGTTCAGTATCCAGAACAAAGTACTGTGGAATTGAAGTGGGGTTTTGGAACAAGCCTGGCCGCGTTTCCTTAAGTTAGTGCGGATAACCTGGGATGCAGCCGCCTCCCATGGAAAAGACTTGGTCCCACGCTTTGCGTAACAAAGAAAACCTCACAACAACTGGGGAAGTTATTCAGTAACCAACGAGCATAGTCAGTGTCTTACCTGTCTGGAATTAGTAGGCTTGGTGGAAATGTGCACAACGCCAGGATTAAAGGGGAATCATAAATGAGTCTTTTGGCAAACAAAGGAGTACTACTCTGTCGGACTGAACACCGCCGAGCTTTGCGGGAAATGGAGGAGGAAGGCTCGCTTGAGCCAAACAAGATACTGACAACATTTTTGTCTGGCTTTCAGGCCACTTTTATCTAACAAAGCTACTCATTATCGACCAGCCTTCTGCCCTGTGTAGTATCAGGACGTTCCCTTTGTCAGTGCTACAGTGGTTTTGTGGTCGTGCGTGAAAATGACGGTGGATCTGCTGCGGTTGTTTGTGATTTTGCTGCTGAGTGGCGGCGGGTCTCTGGTATCATCTGATTGCAAATCATATGATGAACGGTCCAAAAGCGCCGACAGGAAGGTGGTGTGCAGCAACATGGAGCTTCATCAGGTGCTGCCCCCGGACTCCTTCCCCAACAGAACAGTAACACTGTGAGTACTCCAGTCATTTTACACCAAACCTGTTTCACAACAGACTAAGACTCTTAATGGTTTACAAATAGACCTTAACCACCGTAGAAGACAGCGTATGGAATATATACATGGCCGATTTTTCCATTTGTTGTCTACTTTTAAATACTTTAAGAATTACAAAAACAGCTCCAAGTCCTCGCAGTGGCACCAAAGTAGCTACAGCTTGGTCTCCAACCCTGAAAAGCCCTGGCCTATAATTAACCAAATAAATGTGCAGTTCATTTCTACATATTCATAATTTAGAGAGGGCATTGCTGATCAAATGATTTGTTAAATGATCAATATGGCTTGAGCTTTACTCTGGTCCATGCCAACCACACATCAGGCTTTAACAGCTGCAGACTCCAATGGGTAAATAAACCTCCTGTCTTTCTGTAGTGTGGTGATGCATGCACCAGAAGATATTGTGGCAACTAAATCAGGACTCATGCAAGACATTTATCTCACCAAATCACTGGCTGTGAAATAATAATAATAATGATAATCCTTACACCTGGCAGAAATGTATACGCTCAGATGGGGTTACATCTAGTTTGTGTAGTAATTTTAGTATTGACAACACACTTAAAGCCCAGTGTTGTACCCTGCTGGATGTCCAGCACCACAGGCAGTCATCAGCGTTATTGATGCAGTTGTTAGTTTTTGTTTGGACAGCCTAAACGTATGAAACACACCTGTTTACAGCCTCAGGGATGAGGTCATAAAATGTTCCTGCAGATTCCTGAAGCATCTACTGCACTGTGTTATTAACTTTGATTTAAAATGTAGTGTGATCATCACTGTGTTTGACAAATGACACCAGCAAAAAAGACTTTGTGGTTGAGGTGGTGAGCGATGGGAGCAACCTGAGAACACCAGGTCAGGGTGCAGGCATTGAAAACAAATGATAGACTCCGGGAAGAAGAAAGGGAGAACGTTGGCTGAGAAGTTAGGAGTTAAAAGACCATTGCAGTGAGTTTGCAAGTTTTAACTTGTTTGTTACAAATCACATGCACATTACTTTGAAGTACCTTTCAGAGTAATAGGGTCAAACCTTCAGATCATGCACATTGGTCCGTAGTCATTGTAGGACAGTTTTAAAGCAGTTGTAGAGGTTTGACTTTTTACTTTTTGGTACATTATTGTAACATAGAAATACAGATAAAAGACGAGTGTTTTCCCAAGAGTAGGAAGCGACCATTTGCAGTGTATCTACCCCTGATGTGATGCTCCCTGACCCTGACAGCTCAGATGCTGGAGCTTCCCACCACACAGGCAGACTTTTAAAGGAACTGGTCCACTCAGCTGCATTACCACAAAACAAACACAGGTTCACTGTGTTGATTCACCTGGCTCTGTGAATTACTATCCATATATGGGAACAATTAGCTTCATAGAACCTTTGTTTACTTTGAAAACGGTGAACAGTGGTGACAAATATACATAAGTGATGGGGAGATTCAGCTAAAATGATAAAAACTTTACCTTACTATTGCTTTACCCTCATGTTCTCTGCAATATTCATAGAATTTAGTCTTTCATCGTGTTCTGACAGTGGTGGATTGGTGGTTGAGCCAAGTTTCTTGTGATTTAGCACTGAGCTGAAGCATTCTAGCGTCGAGGCTGGCCTCTAAGGAGCAAGAATGATGTAATTAGAGAGCTCAGACAAGCTGTGCAGCTCACAGGAATTCCTTCCACCCTCTCTTTTTTTGTACTTTTGGGTATTTGTTATAGGAAAACACAATCATCTTTTACCAGTGGAACTCTGTACAGTGTTCCTTGTAGACATAAGTGGCAATGAAACAGCAATTTATGTTGACTGCACAGGTTTTTGGTGTAAATTTACTGCCTTTAAATTCTACGAGCCTGCCAACTGACGCCCCACGTGTAATCCGAGAGGAAATGACACAAACGTGTTTACAACTGGCCCGTTCTCCCTTGTCAGATGATATGTGAGGGTTTGAATTCAACCCATGCCTCACACTGAAGGACAAATCAGGTTCTGTGAGTAGTCTGTATGGGTGCGAACGTGAGCGTTTATTTCTGTGTACCTGTTTTAGGTTTCAGCCTACATACCCACACAGACAGGAACTGGCTATGTTTAAGCTTTCTGTGCTCACCCGGTTCATGTTTCTTTACAGGGCTTGTTTAGTGTTTTCAGGATCCATTCACAGAGCACCGGGGTTGGACAATGCAAACAAGTGCACCTGGTGCTGGCCTCTGCAGCGCAGCAGTGCAGGATTAATGTCGGGAAGAAAGCAGGGATTTCCTTTCTCACTGCAGGAAAAATGTGCTTAGTTTGATGACACGTTGGAGTGCAACTCCTGTTTCACAGCAGTGAAAACTCGGAGTTAGGGTTGCATCCTCATCTGGTTTCCTTTAGACTTCACTTTCATGTCTGTGAAAAAGGTTGCCTTTGGATTTTAGAGCTGGAAAATGTTTTTTTTGTGTGTGTGTAAAAATACAGATGCATTAGTTGGTTTTTTTGTGTGTAAAAATACAGATGCATTAGTTTTGAATGTGCGATCAGTGTCAGCCATCTGATGTGTCTGTTCTCCCCAGCATTAAAAAGCTGCTACGCAACGCTGGGAGCTTCTGAAGTGCTTGTGTAACCATAACACAGGTGTCTGCTGTCATTCATATCCTAAGAGGATTTATTTGTGTTGCTTTCCAGGCAAACCATTAGTCTAAAGGAATGCTCCTGTGTTTTTCTCAGCTTTTCCACAGTGTTTGTAGAAGAAAGCAAAATCCCAAAGGTGAAGAACCTCACAGCTGCACATTTAGTCAGTTCGCATCCTTTCATTTCGCAGACCTGGTGAGGTTTGACTTTGCCAGGTTGCCTCAAGTCTCAGTTAATCCCACACAATCAATTCAATTTAGTGTGTAGACGTGAGCTAAGGCTATTTCAGGCCTTCTCGCCTGTGTGCACATTACTGCTCGTGCTTATATCCTGGTGTTTGTAGGGCAAATCATCTTTCCGTTCAACCATAGAGTTCTGTGGTGAACACCTGGCTCTAATGACTTGGCCTGTTGGACATTGGAAGAGGGTACTGCAAGGCCTATGACTTACAAGAATGAAGAGGCAAAAAGAGCTTATATGAGGTTAACTCAGTGACATGGAGAACATACAGTATATCCTTTCAGCAGCAATCTCCACACTTTGGCACAGAATCTCTAAATGAATCCAAATGCAACAGAAACGTTTTCATACTTGGATAATTGTTTTGAACAAGAAACTGCAAAAATTACCTTGGCAAGTTGCAGCACCTCAGCCACTGGATCAGTTCTCATTTCCATTTGAGATGAAGCTCACTTTTCCATCCATTATATTCAAAATATGTCACTTCAGAAGAGTTTTTATGGGCACTACGGTGGCCTGAACTTTATGTGAAAGCCTGTCGAAGAGTTGCAGCCCTCAGCTCTCCGTTCTTTGTTTAAAAGCCTCCATAGCATAATGGAAGTGTTGCGAGACCATTGGTCGGCTTTGACCTTAAAACGCTATATGCCTGTGAGGGTGTGTGGTGGCTGGTTGGTTTTAGTCTTTACCTGGATAATGTGCCTACAGCCAGATGTGTACGCTTTCAAAGATATTAAGTGCAAAAGAACGCTGGATTATCTTGGGTTACATCCTGTTTACTCACTTGGAAGGTAAAGTCAAGGCCAGTAATGTTCTGATATTCTGTGATTCAGAGCATAAGTTCTGGTTTCAGAGATGACTTTTCTATAAATGTCATTGAGATTTATAGCATCTGTATCAGTAGACAGAATGTGAGATAGGATCTCCCTGCAGCTTGTTCCTGGCTTGAGCTCAAGCAGGTCTCATCTATGGATCAAGATAAGGGAGACACCCCCCCCATTCCCGCATCATTTGAGGCCTAGCCTGAAGAAACTCCATATATGGTTCTTTAGTCTAGAGACCTCAGGCCAACATCCAGGGACAGACAGTAAAAGGCAGACGGTCTAGCTACAGACATCCTCAGGGCAGTGGGGATGGTAGATGGCAATGATCTACATACAGATTTGAGGGTTTGCCATATTTACACTGCTTCTAAAGCAGTGGTATTTCTTTCTATACAATGTAAAAGTGTAACAAAACAAGACAAATCATTGCCGTCAAAGCAGTGTCCAATATGCTGAGGTAACTGGGGATCCACGTCAGTAAAAACTTGAGCAAGCGACGTGAGAACAGTGCTAACGATGGTCACATAGTAGTGACAGGAATGTGTGGTTAAAGCCCTACACGTCATCAGCACAGCAGAACGTCCATGGTTTAGGTTTGGTAGGTGATTCCTGTAGTTTCTCTTAGTGTCCGAGTCACGCTTGTCTGGTGATTGCTTCATAAATTAAAAATACAATTACCTGTTGTGTAACTTGCAATTAAGACATGTTTGTGCAAGAAAAGACATTGCACATCATCTGCTACCATATTAGAACCCCTGATATTTTTTGTGGACTTTGTTAAAATTCAGATATGTGTTTTTGTCCATTGCCTTGTGTTTATACATATTTTTCTCTCCACAGAATTTTAAACAACAATAAGATTCAAGAGCTCAGAAATGGATCCTTCTTTGGATTGACTGTTTTGGAGAAATTGTGAGTACTTTTCCTATTTCCCTCTTTCTGCTAGGGACTTGTATGATTATTAAATGTTTACAGTCACACCCTAAACTTTCTCTTTGCTGTTGTTTCCACTGCATCTTAAAGTAAAACCTAACTTGGCACCTCTAGCCCTAATAGAAGAAATAATCTTGGCTTTAAAAAGTAATCTTTTCCATCTTACAAAGCAGATATTCAGGCTGCACATTGATGCCACTGTCAAATACCTTCACAGTATTTCATGTTGTACCTACCAGTGCATTAGCAGGAGGCACCCAGTACTCCCAAATGTTTGGCTTATAGGGCAGGAAGTTTTTGAAACAGACACTGGCCTCCTGCCAGTGGAACATCCATGTCACGGAAGAAGAGTAGGCATCCACCCGGCACTTGGCCTCAGTGAGGTCCATCGGTCTATGGTAAAAGACCAGAGATGGTACTAGAAAATGCTAATAATAGATATAGCCCCCAGGGCTGGGGCATGCATTCCTCATCAGGAGTAAGAGGGACAACCGCCCACAAAAGGAGTAGTACATAATAAAGTTTGTAAAGTGTCTGCACTTTATCACGGAGGAGACTCTTTGGAATGAAGAAACTGCTCGGAAAAAACAGAGAACTGGCTGAATTCTAGATGGTGAAGGCACTTAAAGTCTGTCTGTGTATGATCAGTGAGACTCGAACAATGATGAGATAATGTTGATGCCATGTGACTGGAATGTCATCACCCATGTTTCCTTACTTTAGAGAATTCAAGAAAATGGCTCTGGGCCCACACATAGGGGCCATGGCTGATTTATCACTCTGGAATGGTTTCATACAGATGAAATAACCAGACCATTGATGGCTGTGCTCTTACCCAAGTCTGCAGTAACTCATGACTGCACTAACATGGAATTCCAAGAGCTTGTTTCCCCAGTCAAGTTAGAAAGGTCCAAAATCTAGAAGGCATACGAGGCCATATTAACTACATTTAGCTTTGTTATATCAGTTCAGAAAGAAGATGAAGTTTTACTGATGCTAATTGATTTTATTAGTCACAGACCATTGATATTTTTTGCAAACTTCTCCAGACAGCAGTGTATTTTTGTCTGTTTCTGTCATGCAGCACAGACATACAGTATGTGACTCTACTGCCATTGGAGGCTACTGGTACAGTGTTAGTATAACACGTCTACAGTATTTTCTTCTTTCATCGTGTGGTCATAACTTGTTGTTTTAACTCGTCCTGCATGGCTCTTCTTAAGGCGACGTCGTTATTCATCTGCCTCTAGATTGAATTTGCAGGTAAATTTCCTGTGGGCTCAAGACTTGAATTGTTGTGAATCAAGAAAGCCTTAAAAGTGTTTTGTCTGTGAATGGCCAGTCAATGGTTTCAAGCTTTGTTCTGCTTATTGTTTCATCAATCCATAGCCAAGTTTACCTCCAAAACCAGCCCCCACTGTGCCTCACAGACCTCACCCCTCAACCAGTGGAGCAAGGTTGTAGATGGCTTGCTTGCTATTGTCATTGTAATGAGGTCAGAGGTGTGAACGCCACCATTCCCACACACACTCTGCATGTTGAAGCCTCACCCTCTCTAAAATGTTCCCGTTCCCTCCCACCTTCAATCATACTCGCTGCCTTTCTCATCAAACTCTCCAGGAGGAAAGAAAAACATGCTGTGTGAGTGTGTTTGAATATGCTGAGGCTCTCCAGCTTCAATCCCTCCCTCCTCCTGCCTTCACAGCTTTTCTTTTTTATTTCTTACCCTACAAAGAAACTCCCCCTCATTTGGACTGCCTATATGCAGCCGTGACAACTGAGACAGCAGCTGGCTGTGTGTGACAGCGAGGGGTAGAGAATCAATTACCCCTGTTCGACACTCTGCATGACATTGCAGAGTAACTGTGGAGACCGCTGTGTTTTGTCAGGGCCAAAGGTGTCTCTGCTTGGAAATAAGCCACACAAAATCCCCATTATCACTCTCCTCATAGAAATGGGAGCCGAGCTAGGCGACCGTCACAAGCTTCCTTACTAAATCCACTGCTGTGGTGGAATGCTTACTGTGGAAAATGAAGCAAGATTAATGCTTCTAGTGTGCAGTGTTTTCTGAAGAATTGTCTATTCATGAAGGGCACAATACTCGTGGAGGTAAGTATGCAAGAAAGTTAGCTTGACTTGGATATTGCGATGCTGCATTTAGTGCAGATTTTAAAGAAAGACACTGTTGACAAGGCTCTAATTTGCTTCAGCTGTAGTATAAAGCAAGCCTCAGTAACTTTTTAAACACAATCCCCTTTTTACAAACGAAAAGACATTAAAAATAACATGCATCCTGCTCAGTTCAACACACACATCTGTAGTTTTCTGCCTGTGGTCACATCCCCCATCTCAGTCAGCATGCAGAATTCCAATGTTTTACAGGATAAACCTGGGATTATTCTGGCACAAGAGAATTGTGGGAAATTAAGGAAAAGGGCTGTTACCCTGCAGTTGACATTTGTAGCCACATTGGCCACAGTTCAGCAAAAATTACATAGTCTCACTTAAATTTTGCACTGACATGCCTGGAAACCTCTGTCAGATAATGATCTTGGAACAGAAGTTATGCAAATTGAACGTGTGTCACATTTTGTTTAGTGTGAATAACGCCATTGGAAGGCAGGTTGTGTGCCCTGAAAAACCACCGTGCCAAAACGTGTGTCACATTTCGTTTAGTATGAATAACGCCATTGGAAGGCAGTTTGTGTGCCCTGAAAAACCACCGTGCCATTTCTTTACAGCTGTGTTCCAAGTTCTGGAACACACTTATGTAGGATCCAGTTCTTATTACCATGCTAACTCTGAGAGACGAGACAGTCCAAGTAACTTCAAAACAGTGCTGATTTATTCAAAGGATCACAGGTAAAATTAACATTACACGCTCAGGCATCTTGCACCTCCATCCTGCACGCTGGCAGAAGTAAGATGAAAGACCCTGAACCCACCAGGCCTATACATTATATCCCCCCTGCAGTTATCGTCCAGTTACCGAGTCTTTAAGAACTGGTTAAAGCTTCTTATAATACTTAGAATTGAATCTTGAATCTTATTCATTTTTCCATACTAAAATGTTGGCAAAGGTAATTTTCATGTTTTGGTGAACACACACGAGTAGGATTCTGTGTCAGAACTTCCTCATTTACATGCTGAATTCTGTGTTTGTGTCCTGCTTTCCCTCAACTCTAATAGCTGCAACTCCAGGAAAAAATAAATTGGCTCCAGGAACAGACAGGCTGGTAGGTAGGTAGGTAGGTAGGTAGTAGACTCACCAAGGCTTTCTGTGCACCAAATACCCACCCAGCTCTTACTAGCTATAAGTTAGCCTTCTCCTTTTCCTCTCATCACTCCTGCACACAGAAGCCAGCTCTGCTAGTTCACATCAAAAGCTGTAACAGGCATTAGATGTTTTTTGGCTGACTAATCTATGGCCACCTGCCCGTCTTCAGATGACAGCTCCCTGACATCAAACGGGCAGAGATACCCTGCCCTGAGGCCCTTTGTGTGGGTTCAGGTGGCGACTAGGGAGCCTCCTGAGCCTTCATTTTAATGAGTGACTAGGCAGCACCAGCTCAGGCGAGCACTGCAGGCATCCTCTGACCATAAGCCTTTGAAACCCGGAGTGAAGTGTGTGTGTACGTGTGAGAGCTAGAGAGCATCTCTGAGCATCAAGCTGTCAGTGACTGCAGCTATACAGTAACAGTAGGTGGGTGATGTCAGTGGAGGTCTGGGTGTTTTTCACTGAATTTAAAAAAATGTATGTGCACAATGTGTTTTCCTACATAGTAACCATGTTTACTGTTACATTTACTGTTTTGTTGCTGTTTTATTTGCTCATCACTCAAAATTCTCTTTGCTTCCACAGGGACCTGCGGAGTAACATGATCAGTCGTATTGAACCCGGCGCTTTCCTTGGGTTGCCAGCACTGAAAAGACTGTGAGTAGTGGTGGAGCTTCTGCAGCTTTGCTGTCTGTCTGATGTGGCTTTTGCAGGTGTGCATGTGCTCTACACTGGCACATTAAGCCCCTCTGGGATTTCACTGGGTTTTCTGCTTTTATTGCTACCGAAATATCTGAAATACAGCTGTTTAAAATGAGTGCTTGGCTTAATTATTTGTCATGTGAGAATACTGGTGTATTAATACTGTGAACTAAGAGATGCCTTTTGGTTTAGTGTGTCTTCTGTTAAAGTTGCGACTGTCATTTTGAAATGATCCGTGCATATCTGGCATTTTAATGTGGAACAACCTCTGTGTTGTTTCAGCCCCAAAGTTACAAATCACACAGTCAAGACATTGTCAGGGAGCATGTTCAGGTGTTGGTTTTGATCTGGTCAGAGCTCTCTTCACAGCGTTCAGCAATGACTCTGATTGCATACGTTGTGTTTAAAGCAGCTGTTGTTTGCTGTCTGTCTGTGCAATGTGCTGTGCCAGTGTATCCAGTGTCCATGAGGGAGCACGATCCAGCAGCATGCTGTTTCCACTGCCATGTTGTGTCTGGCCCTCTGCCAGAGACCAGACAACACGAGGGCCTATATACTTTCACATGCCTGAGAAGAAAATGAAGGGGGATGTAGAAAATGTGTCTGTCTGTGTGGTGTCTGTGAATATCATGAGATTCTGTGCGGTATACATAACGTTGGCGTCTGTCCAGGACATGTGGTGTGTGTGTGTGGGAGGTCATGGACTGTGTGGGGAAGTGTACAGTTGTGTTTTTTCATTTATACGTGTGTGTGTGTGTATGACGGAGCAAAAACAAAAGCATGAATTGGATTCGTCTGAGGGTGCCCAGTCGCTGCCAATGCAAACTTGAGCTTGGCTGCTGCTGTGGAGCAATAAAAGTGAGACAGGAAGGCTGTCAGCTCCTTGGCTCAGACCTGGCCTCATTTTCCCCTCATCCTCAATGCATGTCTGTGCTACACTCAGATGGATCCACAGTGTTTCATGGTAGTTTGGCATTGGCTAAGTGTAACAAAGTTAAAATAGCCCCACCCCCCATCTCAGTTAAGGTTAGTTGTCACTCACATGACATAAAAATCGACATTTGCCTGTTTTTACGTCACATTTACCAGACACACCTTGGACACATGCTCCTTTACCTTTCTTTTTCTCCTTATCTTAGACTCTAGTCGGTCTTTAATTTCCCTCCATCCGTCTGTCTGCCTCACTCGTGGAGTTAGAAGGGAGGCTAATTAGATTTCTTCACATTTCGAGACTTGCCATTTGGAGGGCCTATTTGTCTAACAGGTTGTCACAGAGCAGTGGCAGCAGCATTTAAAGAGCAGGCTGCAGAGGTTTGGGTAATACAGGCTCTATATACCAGCCATTAGTCATGATGAATTAAAAACCAGCTTTTGTGTTAACCCATCTTAGGCTAGATGGTTTCTTATTCTGATTCCTCATCATGTTTGACTAGCACCTGTTGAGCAACAGACATGTATATGTGTAGAGAAAACAAAGAAAAAGGGAAAAGGTGTAAATCCCTGCTGTTTTGCTTGTAAAGGCAACTTGTGCCAGTAGGTTTACACTTTGGTAGATGACATCAGGGTTGAGCACTCTGTCCAACTAAGAAAACAGAGGCTGAGATATTCATATTTTTAGTCCAAAGCACTGGTCAAGCTTCACAAACACTGAATTTCTCCCATAATGTAACTGGGCCGTCTTTCATTAACCTCCCCCTGCCTCTAAAATTCCCTTCTTCTTCCAAACTGTCCATTTCTAACATTTAAACCTTCTAGCCCAACCTACAACAACCCTGACATCACCAGGGATATTGTTGTTAAATTTGGAAAGCACCATCCAGACCCAGGTTCACACCCTGTTTCTCACACCATACAACCCACTGAAGCCCTATGGATCTATCCAGCCTCAGCCCCTTGACTCTGAATTCCTCCAACAGCTGAACAGCCTAATCACATCAGGCTATTTTTGCTTCGACTGAAGCACTAGACTGAAACAACCCTTGGCGCTCTTAATTTGCTGCATGTGGCTGAGACAACTCCTCGGTAATGAATAGTAGTCGACTAGGAAAGGCCGATGGGCACTAGAGACCAGCCGTACAAGAAAAACGACTTAAATGTGTATTTATTTGCATTGTTTCAATAAAGAGTGTTAAATAATAAAACAGAAAAAGTGAGCGTAAAAAATAAGCGTGTTAAGTCCCTTGATGTAACTCGAGCGTTTCAGTTCAGACTATAAAATACGATGAAGGTTTGCCTGAAGCTAGTCGAGCCCCATCCCTTCACTTCTCCTGTGTTATCCTCCCCCTGACACACAAGCTGACAAGCCTGCAAAAGGCGGCTTTTTTTGTTCTCTTCCAAGTGGAACTAATAGCCTCCCACTGTAAATTCCCCAGCTGGTACCTTAAGGACCAACACCGGTAATTACAGAAATGCTCGGTTGTTAGCATATGCCTGACAGTCATTTTCCAGGTATACTCGGTGTCGGGATCACATTCCTGGAGCACCCCAGGATTCAGTTTGAGGTAATGATCTCACTTTGCTTCCTGCCTCTTGTTTCTTTTCCTGGCATCTTTCAGTGATTGGATCATTCAGAGGAAGATGTGTTACAGCCACGTTCAAGGTGCTGTGACTTTGAACCTTGGCTTCACTGCAACTGTTATGTCTGGGAGTATTGTATTGTATTGTATTGTTGTGTTTGTTTTATTTATGGCAGTCATAAGAGATCAAAATTCAGGCAGAACCTTTTAGCATACAGACCGAGTCTTTTGTAGGACCGGTGCGTTCTGTTAGTGGTGGTTTTTTGCAGCCTTCTCTAAGTGTTTTCACTTTGGGTGTGATTCCCAGCAGC